GGCTTTGTAGAGGCTACACTATCTCAAGAGACTCTCATGTAGGAAGTTCAAACAACTTGTCATAACCCAGGGCGACAGTGAAAGGTAGCTTTGGACAATTTTGCTTGATGTAGTCATCTCTTTGCGCAATGGGAGCAAGTTAAACCTCGTGCAATCACCCCTTACATGCAACTCCCGTCACGGTGATCTCGTAAAACCTCCTTTTTCACCACTTTCAAACAGCCCTGAAGAAGGCGGACTTTCTCGCTGTCTTCGCGCGATGAACTCTTCTAGATGAGCTTTTCCGATGTTCAACCTCATCGTGTTCGCTAGTGATCCTTTGTATGTTTTTTGTTAGCATTACATTCCCTTGTGAACCCAAAGTCTCGTATTTTTCTCTCATTTACACCCAGCCTAGTTGTTACCATCGAAAACATCCTTATTACTCAAAAGGAAGTTCAAAATTAATGCGATGACAGGTAAGAAAGTTCAACACAAAAGGTTTCAATGAGAATAACGTAATACCAGGTTAGTTTCTGAGCTTGTCAAAATCAATCCACTTTAATGAATTATTCCTTTACAAAATTAAAATTTCACAAAACCTTCGTTGTCTTGGAATGGCACCAGTGAACCAGATAGCATAGCTTTCACGAATTCCAGCAAAATCACTTCATTTCAAGAAAACACATAAGCCTGTTCGCGATATTCATAAAGGCAAATCATAATGAAAATGCCAAGGGAAAAAGTTCATAGAGACATTAGCTCATACAATATTTATTTATTGAATCAAGAACTACATGCAAGTCAAAGTAACATCACATTTGTCGAATGGAACAGAGAATGTCCGCATTTAGACATGAAAAAGTGCTCAGAAATCATGACAGGAGAGGCAATACCTATCATAAGTCGATATATACATAAAAATATAAGAAATACATGACCTGAATTCGAAGACACTAAATAACGACGGCAATTAGAAAATCATATCATGCATGGAACTAGAATGACGCATTACAATAGCGAAAGTAGCAAAACGCGACACATACCAATTGAAATAATCGTGATCGTGAGAAGCGATATTTGAGCCAATATGTTAAGAAAGATATGAAAATTCTCCTGCTGTATTCTCTTTAAACTGTGCTGCCATTTGTTCGCTTGCAAATTGAACGTACTGCTCATGTTGCTCTGAGATATCAACCCATAACTGTTATTTCAGAAAAGAAGAACAAAAAACACAGCAGGGACTCACCATCCAGTTTCTGATTCAAAGCCAATTCATACTCATACCGTAGACGCATCTCCTGTTCCTTCAAAAGACGTTCGCAAATCATCCGTACCTTGAAAGGAACAATTACAACATACACAATAGCAATCCCATCAAGAAAGCCATTCTAAAGGTACCTGTTTCAGACTGAACTGCGGTTTCTCGGCGAGTGCTTGGTAGTTATTGACACCAGTTTTTCGGACGCTAGAGCCCTCGCTTTCCGAATCTGACCCGGACTGAAAGTAAAGATTATCGCCATATTATCGCTGCTCACCACCGACATTTGAAATCACAACTTGAATGCCTCCGTTTTTACATCCTACCACAGTAAGAATAACGTTCTGCAATCTACATATTAAATTCTTTTAAAGACAAACGCTGAAAAGTACCACCGCTGGCGTCGAAAATTACATTTATGAGCTTGTTTTGCACTAATCCAGCCCCACAATTCCCATTTCATCAATACATGCTAATGAAGCGCTCCGAAAATCCGATTATGAGAAGATATTGCCCGATATCAATCAATGTAATCCAAGGCAGGATTGCGCTATCACTTGGCAATCCACTTATGGTCGGCAAAAGTGCATACCCCAGACCCTAATGAAGATTGCGGCTACTCGTTATAAAAGGGACCCACGATCACGCAATCGATCGTATCTCCAAATTGTTCACGATTAGAGGATGGGATGGAAACCATGACATTTTTAAAGCCTCATTACGATCTCAAAGCGATACATTACCCTAACGACCCAAAACGTTAACAGCTACGACAAATTCTCAAGGACTTAGGACAATCAACAAAAGCACAGCATTAAAATGGCCACTTCAAATTCTATACTTAATTCATTGGATCATTCATGGAATTTTCCGTTACCCTTTCTATCACCAAAAAATATCCAAGACTTTCCCCATCAAGATACCCTAAAAGAAACAGTCCCAATCTAAAGCTATTCAATGAGGTATTCAACTTCATAAGCACTCTCACCACATGGGAAAATTGGAGAAAAGAAAAAACTAAATACTGCTCCAATCTCCAGGTCCACGCGAGCTAAAAGGCTATTTCAGGTTTTACACTCCTACTTGAACCACTGCCCATAAATCTAAGGCAAGCACCCTCTACCAGAGAATATGCAGATGATTACGTCCCTTCAAACACATCCAGCTACTGTAAAAGGTATCGTTCCAATGAGACACTCTATTCAAGGAGGATTTATTTTGAATAGGCCCAAAACGGAACTGAAAACGGTAGAAGGCCCGAATATGGGTAAGCATATAGCCACACCAGGATGATCCCTTTCTGGCCAGCCATTGCGTGAATGCATTCGGAAATGAGCCCTTTCATTCCCTCCTCTCCCTAGATGGTGTGTGCCTCCTAGGCAATAAAATATTTCATTCCACCAGCCCTCCAAATGGGCGACTCCTTCACGGAATAAAATATGATCGTTCTGGTATTATTCATATTCACTCTGCACCCCGCAAATGACTGATCCATTTACTTCCCTGCACTTCACCAAACTACGCTTACTTTGCCATCACTAACCACTTTATTTCCAGCTTCGGCATCATTTATGAAAAAATAAAAAGGCAGAAAAAACTGAGGGCAGTAAGTCGCAAACGACTGCACCAAAAGTCATGACGGAACCGTTCAATGTTTATAGGCCGACTCTTTGTTACGTGGTGAGAGTAGTATGGCTAACCGGCAAGAAAACCAACCGTACAATCAACTATTGCTGCCGAACAATGGTATCGATTACGAGCGCTACGGGACTAAATGGGAAGATTGCCGTAAGACGACCACGCCGTAAAACTCGATATCTCTATCCTTTATCACCCACTATTTTTATGCAGAAAACACACAAAGGAATGAATCGGAGGGTACCTCAACATGCGAGCTATAGAAAAGCATCGCTTCTCATATTTATAATCACTACGACACACTCCATTTCACAGTAAACTAGCGGTATTGCTCAAATCTCCATGTGAAACTAGAAACCCATGTTTCGGCTGGTTTTTCAAATTCACTCGGGAGCTTGTTCAATAAGGCTAGCCTAGGCAATTTAGTCGACAACGAACACAGCTCGCACTTAAAAAGCAACTGTACCTGAGGAGGAGAATTTGGTATACGGTAGTCATTCCGTGGGGTATTCTCATCCTCGAGCTTTACATCTGAGCAGTTTCTTCTTGGTAACAGCTTTCTACGCTGTCCATTACGAACTTCCGAACGTAAATATGCATCTAATTGAGACTCAGACAACTGACATTTGCCTGCGACTGCCGCGAACGGAGAATCGTCCTGAATAGAAAGCATTATCGGACTCAGACTACCAAATGAAATGAGTTTAGTCATCCCTAGATGTGCAACCAATTCATCATTATGTCTAGGGTAGGCTACCGTTACTCTTGAGAATGATTTCTGATACCAAAGTGCAGCTCGTTCTAGAACAAACATAGGAATCCTAAGAACTGAGGGTCTGACGCAGTTAAATCATAGATTCTCATTTTTACCATTAAATCAGGCCATCTCTGCTTGCACACGGCAAATTTCCGTGCAAAAAAGAAAGACCTTTCCAACAATGCATCAGACCGGTAATATCACTTTGCAAGAAGAAAAAGGGACATGAATGAATGTCTCTAAGGAAACCGCTGGTAATTACTTAAGGAATATGATGAAAAAACTTTTGATGAGAACTTTGAACCTATAATAGTTTACAAGGGCTACGAATCGGGAATCAAGGTTTTCGAGAATTTCAGACTATGACTACCCTCGTAGGGCGTAATCTGGTGTGAAGAATTACGAACCTGTGAACGGAAAACCTACCCCCATTACCTAGCTATCCTTAAGAGATGCAAGCTCACCAATTTTCCAAATCGACCCTTTTTGAATTCTAACAAAACTTACTTTGTTGACAGCCTGAGCAAAACTGCTAGTAGATGGTAGATTTGCGGCTATTGTACCCATTTGAGGACGAAACGGTGAGCAATGAGCTGCCGTATGACGAGCTCGTTTAGCCTCATGAGGAAAGCTCTCATCAGCTAAATACGAGTCGTATTCATGTGGACGCTTCAATGCCAATCCACAAGCCATTTCTAATCTGAAATTCGTATATGCTACTAATAAATTCAATTAGGAACAATGCCGACACGACGGAGAACACGACATACGGACGAAAAATCGAGGAACGAGAACGGACAACGAAACGGCAAATACTGGTTAAATGAGTCATACTTCATGATAAAAGATCACTATGAATATCCCTCAGTGTTGATACTTCCATTGTTTTGACCCGAATCGATTAGCAATAACACAACCATTTTCGAAAATATTCAACTTTGAAAAATGACGTGACGAAAATTTCTAAAAAAACTCTCCATAGTACGATGAACAGGTGAAATTGGAGCGGGACTGGGAGCATTAGGTTACTAATACGATTCTTAGTACTTCATAAATTTGGAAGTAAAAAGAGGACGAACAGAAAAACCGAAAAATCATTCGTGTCCCTACATTTTGAAGCATTTCCATTTGCTTCTCCAAAAAACTTTATTAGTTTTAGGAATCTTGATAAATGTCTGAGTGAAATTTCAAAACCTGTACAAGATGACGCGATGACGTGCTGAGGGAAATGTGTTTGTCATCACTCCTCGTTTCGTCAGGGCGATCTAGAACATTCTCCTGTAAAGTAGACGAGGAAAAAGACATATCTGGAGGGGAGTGAGAAAATAAACAAGGAAAAACAACATAGAATGATGGCCAAAAGCCCCTGTTAGGTAATCAACTTTTACCTATCAAATTTTCGGGCAAATGAGGTTGAAATGGAGTCAGGAAGTCAGCACTACTAAAACTGGTAGACTGATACAGTCTAAAAGATTATTTTACTGAAACATTCAATTTTCAAGACTATGGCCAAACTTGCCGCTCTCCTCCTTGCTATTCGAGCAAGCATCAGCTTCACCGTGTATAGGAAATCATCCTAAAAAACAATTACCAAAAAAGGAATTCACTAAAGCATTACACTTGCGCCCAGCCCGAGGAAATCTTCAAACTTTGACTTTGTAAACTTGACGAAAAGAACATCAAAATGAGGCCAAAGCCTTCCGAAGCGAGCCATTGCTGTCCATTCCTCCCGGGAGGTCCTGACAAAAAGACGGTTAAGAAGAATAAATGGAAAGA